AAGTTCACTTTGAATGAACTTGGCGATAGTAGCATGTTGGGCATCTCTATTGAGAGCCTCTAGCATGACGCTAACAGCATGGATGCCCATGGTTGAACCCATCCGTTCAACCGCATCCCATTCGACATCGCTCAAATGGGAGTAGCCGTCACGCGTAGCGTGAAAGCTTTGGTCATCTTCATCATCTAACATATTAATGTTAGATGTGAACGTGGTCCTGGGACGGACTACGAAATGCTACCAGGTGTAACGGGGCACCCTGAAGCTTGTACTGGTGACAGTACAAGCTACTTATTCTGATGACAGAATAAGGCGGTGCCTCGGAACTTCACGTACACTCGTACGTGCAGAGGAAGACGGTAAGAAGAAGCGAGTACTTGGTTAAAGTAAAAAGTAGAACTGTATTCATCATAGTTAATGTCTGCAATAAGTCACTATTTATCCTCATCTAGCTATGTCTAAATACAAATGTGTAAATCAACTATCTGCTCACCACTCATTGCGTGCGTCCCTGAAGCTTGTACTGGTGACAGTACAAGCTACTTATTCTGATGACAGAATAAGGCGGTGCCTCGTAACTTCACGTACACTCGTACGTGCAGAGGAAGACGGTAAGAAGAAGCGAGTACTTGGTTAAAGTAAAAAGTAGAACTGTATTTATCATAGTTAATGTCTGTTAATACATCACTATTTATCCTCATCTAACTATGTCTAAATACAAATGTGTAAATCAACTATCTGCTCACCACTCATTGCGTGCGTCTGTCGTGGCGCGTCTTCGTTGGTTGATACAATGGCCTATATCAACCAATTAGGAACAACTCGTAAGTGCTGCAGAATATTTGTCCTTATGACAATATTCTGAGAATATAACTCTTATAGTTATATTCTATTAACAATTTCTTATAAATTGTTAGGTAACGATTCACCCCGTTACATCACCCCCCCTTAACCATCAGTCACTTTAGTGACTGATTGACTAAATGGATACTCGTCCCAAATCATTTGGGACAGGGTTTGCACTTGTTGGTCCGAGTCCACTTTCCAACATTTCATCGCATGGTTAACAAGCCCATGCGGTGCGCGAGCAAGGCCGCCGAGAGCGCGTCCGCACGTCTCTGTGCGGACGCCGAAGCAGAAACCGCAGCAACTGATGTCTCATCGGTTGCTGAAGCGACTCAGCCTGTGTCGCTTGGCGATGCAGGCGCTGGTCATGAAGACACGCATGTCTTCACAGAGTATGAGCTCGGTGTCTTATACTCTCCTGATACGGAAGACGGATCCGTATCGACGGCGATTGAATCCAAGCCGCCTGCCAAGCGTGGCATGGATGATGCTATGCGTCGCAGCATCTTTGGTTCATCTGATGAATCATATGAACCATCGCCGAAGCGAAGGCGCTCGAGGTCGCGAGACTCGGGCGCTCACAGTGGTTTCGGTTCTCCTATGGACACCACTTCGCAACGAGGTGCCAGTCCTTCTGTCGGCACATCGCAGGATGAGCGGGATCGCAATGTCTTGCGTCTCGCTCCTGAGAAGAAGGCTTGGATGCCTCCAAAATCTGTCATACTTCACTTGTCGGCGACGACGAGTGATCGTTATCGAACACGATTGTTCGATTCGTCAAGGATCCATCACCTTGACCCCAGCGCGAAAAACTATCGCGCTGAGAATGAGTTCTTCATCGATGCTTTCTTTAGACATCGATGGTACAGTGGGAATCACAAACGTGATGGTCCCTCACTGCTTCAGGCGTGGAACGCCTACATCCATAACCTTGAGGATGTAGGTCGTGACGTTTGGAACGACAAACTTATTAAAGCTCGTGATAAGTTTGAAAAGCGAACCCCGACAGGTGCACGCTACAAGCTGCATCGTCTGTCAAGGGAGAAAGGATTACCCTGCCTCTCTTGGGGAGACTCGTGCCCATGTTGTGTGAACAACTCTGCACGAGCACCTAAGGAGGCTTACCTCCTTACTAGCCCGTGGTGGCGCGTACGTATCTCTACTGAGATGTACGAAGGGATTGACAACCTGAAATCCCTTTACGACCGTGCCGGGAAGACTTTCTCCGGCGGTCCTTCTGCGGCACAGGATGTGCCGCGTCGTACTGCTCAACCAAACCCAGTACGTCAACTATCAGTTGGGAGCGGGGCTCCCAAGTATCCCAGGACGGGGGATAGCCGCGCCACCGGACGAGATAACTCGTCCGACGTCCGTTCACGTCGCGGTGGTTCAACAGCTGCTCAACTAGATAGCTCTGGCCGCCGCGAGAGTCCTCTAATGGAGGTGGAGGAGGAGGAAAGACGCTCTCCACACGATCATGTGGATCCGTGTGTTCCCGAGAGCTTCTTTGATCGCGTAACGCAAGGGTTACGCGACGATCTCGAACATGAGCGGAATAGGCGTCTCCAAATGGCGGGCACTGCCTCGAAGCATCGAGCTGAGTTTGCCTTTGCTCAGCTCGAGAACGAGAGATCTCTGACATCTCTTCGTGACGAGCTAAGGGTAGCTCGTGGGATTGTTGATCGGTCTCGGGATGAGACAGCTGCTCTTCAGACCCTTGTTGATGCCCACCATCGGTAGCACAAGGCTCTCTGCGAGATTCTTGAACGCAAGGGCGTTCTTCATCGGAAGAAGCAGCGTGCTGATGGTACGGCTTAAGCCGACCGACGTAAAACGTGGGATGCGTTCGCATCTTACTTGGCAACTCGATCGTGAATGCATTGCCTAGGCGGGGCAATACACGAAATGGGCCGATGTACTTGGGTAGTAGTTTACTGCTACCCAAGTTAGTCACTACATGCTTTGGTAGATTAACCGTAGACAGTAGGACTAAGTCACCTTTATTGAATAAAAGAGTGTTTGCCCTTTCATTCTTGTCAGCGTTTTGCTTTTGCTTATCCACCCTTCGGCGATGGAGTCTTGCACAAAACGGACTACCGTTTCACGAGCCAGTATGAACTCATCTGATGACTCGTTAGCTTCAGTGTGCTGTGAGCGCACTGCAGCAACAACAACCTTTTCTTCAGTGAGGGCTTCCGCATTCTCACTGGCATCATCTTCTTCGATATCGATGTTATCGATATCGGCATCAAACGCAATGACCTCTTCGTCAGAGCGTGATGAGCGTGAACCAAATCGGTTTTTGCTCGCGCGAGTCTCTCCCCCCCTTAAACCAGAGTTACACTCTATTAAGGTGGGTACACGCGGATGGCGTAAGCCATTCACGTAAAACGGTGTATGTGTCGTGGACGCATGCACCGAGTTGCTAATGGCAAACTCTACCATTGGCAAAAACTCACTCCAACCCTTAAAGGAGTGTACGTATCCTCGAAGTATCTCTTCAAGGACACGATTGGCACGTTCCGTCCAACCATCTGACTCGGGATGATCAGATGTAGACATCTTCAAGCGCGTTCCGAGTGATTTGAACACGGAACGCCAGAAATCAGCAGTGAATCGTGGATCTCTGTCTGATACGAGTTCACGGGGCAACCCATGAAGTTGGAAGATGGTGTCAATAAAGATACAAGCACAGCCACTAGCCGTGATCGATTCTGATACAGCCACTAGGTGTACCATTTTGCTGAATCTGTCAACAAATACGAGAATACCCGTATTCCCGCATGCGTCCCTATTCTGTAGACTGCCAGTGATCGGATATTCTAGGTAATCGTACCTCAATATACCTCACCTACCCAAAAAATCTTAAGTCAAGACGCGACCAATCTGCCCGATTGGCGGGACATCCACCGATTACACAGCACGTCAGTGCATATGTCGCAGACGTTGTTCAGGATCAAGCTAATAAGATCTATCTCTGAAGCATGGTGTATGACAAGAGGTCCTGCCCGCACCAAACTTGCGATTTCTCCACAACGATATTAATGCAGCACATCTTCTGGAAATATCCGGTACCTGCTGTGAATGAGCAGAACTTCTAAATCGTATTGGAAGCGCACTATTTAATTTACAGGACGCACTACAGCTAACGTGCTTCAGTCTCGAGGTACCGGGCGCGACAGGCCAGTGAGCCCATTACTCAAGATGCTCCGGGTAGCATCAAAAGACGAAAATTGGTTGTAAGATTCAGTCCACGATACGGCCAGGACGATGTGGAGGCTCAAAGCGACGATGTAACGGGGTGAATCGTTACATAACAATTTATAAGAAATTGTTAATAGAATATAACTATAAGAGTTATATTCTCAGAATATTGTCATAAGGACAAATATTCTGCAGCACTTACGAGTTGTTCCTAATTGGTTGATATAGGCCATTGTATCAACCAACGAAGACGCGCCACGACAGACGCACGCAATGAGTGGTGAGCAGATAACTGATTTACACATTTGTATTTAGACATAGTTAGATGAGGATAAATAGTGATATATTAACAGACATTAACTATGATGAATACAGTTCTACTTTTTACTTTAACCAAGTACTCGCTTCTTCTTACCGTCTTCCTCTGCACGTACGAGTGTACGTGAAGTTCCGAGGCACCGCCTTATTCTGTCATCAGAATAAGTAGCTTGTACTGTCACCAGTACAAGCTTCAGGGTGCCCCGTTACACATCGAGCTGGATCTCTACTGATGTCCCCTCTTTCGTCATGGAGTCGGATAAAACGAGGCTTGCAGGACATGTTCGGGGTATGATAAACAAAGGCGAAGCACATCCAGAACAGATTGAAGAGAAGCTGCAGGATCCAGGGACTGCACAGAAAACAGTGGATGACTGGGTATATGCGATTTACGAAGCAAGAATGATGGCAAAAACGATGCGACATTACACCGGCATGCTACAAACATGGTTGGATCAGGGTAAAACTCCCCTGGACGTCTTCATCATCCTGCCTATTCGTGGCTCCTACCATCACAACTTGATATCGTCCAGATATGTGGACCTTCTGGGCAGTACATCGAGATGTACAATAAGAAACATCCTCGCGGTCACCATAGCCTAATAGAAACGCTAAAGGAGGGTTATGACGTGATGCCAAAGGAGAGCAACGACGTGGAGACTACATCGTCGGCCGGTTTGTCCAGAGGGCAGGCAAAATTGGCGATCGACTTGTCGATTGCGAGGCTGAGCATTTTTGATATGGAAGACGCAACGAAATTGCAAAAGGAGCTGTTTAACATCCGGATAGAAAAAGGCTTAACTTTCGAAGATGTATTCAAGACAATGGACGAGATTGCCAAAGAAAGGGCAAGAGAAAATTTTCTCATGCACAAGTATCTCGACACTTTGCTAGAATTCACCAAGCTGCAGGATGAGAATCCTCTGATGAAAAAGACAGATGCGTTCGCGTTCCTGGAAACCAAAGCCAACGATGAGAATTGGTTTTTATTGCAGCTTGAGAGAACCATGGAGGAAAGCGCATGCATCACACGGTGTCTTCCTGAGCTGTTCGAGAGGTGGAAGGCCGGACCGAATCCCTCTGGAATATTTTTCAAAAAAAGACGAGGCGTGAAAGACGAGAACTTGCAGGCGGCACAGAAGATTCTAGCGGAATATATTCGCTACTTGAGTCCACAACAGTGACTCCAGGCGAGTGGATTTTATAGCACCCACAGAATGTTCCCGACTTGACAAGACCGATAACAGTACATAAATCTTTTTTACATTTTCGGTGTCGTATGCTTGAGTGCTTTCTTTAATAGAAGACAGGTCGATTGAAAAAGAGAAGTGAGCTTTTGGTCTGTCTGCGTACATGCATGACGCGGCATGTGATGTTCTTAAAATATCGTGAAGTCACGTATTGTACAGCGGATCCTCTTTTATACGATTAGTCGATCATAGACTGCATCTTCGGTGTCAGTTCTAGTCGTTGTCTGTTGTCATCCGTAATAAAATTCGGTCAGACATCTTGGGCCAATTGAGTCGCGCATATCATCGTGAAAGCTGTGACCTACGTCCACAACAATTGTGTATTCGTGACAAGCTTCTTAGCGTACTGGCAAAATATTGCAGTAAGCTCCAGTTACGATCAGTACAACCACACAGGTTCCCGATGCACATCCCATCTAGAAAAAAGTTCGTTGTCGGGTTTATTTCTTCCCGGTGTCTTTATTTATTTAATTATTGCCCATACTTGTATCAAATTAAATGCAATAATGTTACTTTGATTGATTCTCCTATGATGCAATTAAGTATTATTTCATGATCAGATAAATGAAGGGTAGAATATATGTGAAAAAAAAGCGTTTCAATTTATTAATTTTTTATTCTTATTCGCATTTGTTTTTACAGTTGTTCGAGAATATTTTCGGTATTTTATTAAATGAGTCACAACCTGTAAAGTCTTTTATTTGACATACACCCCAGGTCTTATAGACACAACCACTCACAATGGTGCTTATAATTCCATAAATAATGCAAATTAGATGCTGTCGTTGAGTGATATGCGGAAACCTCAAATATAATCCTCTACAGTGCTAAAAATCCGATGATATGAATCGATATCATAGCTCGCATACAAAAAACGCTTCTTGTGCCCGGCAAAAGTATACGGCCAAAAAGGCATACTAATTTTCAGGAAAGAACGCTAATGGGTTTCTGCTTTCCTCAAGCAATGGGTAAGGGGAAAGCGCTAACCGATCTAGAGAGTGGAAGGATTCAGAGCTTGCATTAAGCAGGCCTGATAGGGCGCGCCATTGTACATACTATCAACCGGTAACGTGACGCAGTAATGCGTGTTGTGAGCAGCACGTCAGCCGCATTAGAACTGCCAAACCACAAAATATGTCCGATCGTGCTCTTCGTGTGCTAGTTCGCACGGCAGCGAGCGGGAATTATCAGCAACACAGCTGCATCATCATCTCAAGCTAAAGTGATCGGTTCGCACTATGCGCCGCATTGGAGGATGGAGTAGACACTTCATCTTCCGGATTTGCATAGAGCGCTTTGTCTGGAGAATACACTTCATCTTCCGGATATGTACAGAGTGCATCGTCTTGCATGGTCAAAGGAAACGCATATACCTTCCAGAGCGTAAATATCGATCATCTTTTCTGACGAAAAGTTATGGAACCTTGATGGAGTAGATGGCCTACAGCACTAGTGGAGATACATGCGTTTCTGTATCAGGCAGACGAATTGTTGTCAGAATGGCGAAGGACCCTTTTTGTTTGGGGTGTGTTTAGCGGAGTCATAAAGACTGAGCTAGCCATGTTGGTTGGAAACCAAAAATCAAAGGATCACATCTATACGATATCCGGGCATATGCTGCCTTTTGCTCATCGCGAGTACGGGACAGAGCTTCTTTTTCAGCAGGACTACGCGAACCTCCATACTCTTCGATGCCGAAGGACTTCTTTGCTGAGCAAGGTGTAAATGTGATGGAGTGGACTCCTCATTTTAAACCCTATCGAAAACGTGGGCTATAATGTACAGAGATTTATACCAGAACAAGAAAAAGTGCGAATTACTATCAGCTCTAATTTCGGCAGTCATCAAAGCATGGGAGAACATACAGCAAAACAGATTGGGAACCTTGATCGACTCCATGCCGAAACGTTGCATTGAAGTCCTCAAAATATAGGGAAACAAGACACACTACTAGTCTGATTAGCTTTTAAATTCTCATCGCAATGTAGGAATGCATAAAACCAATACCATTTATACTTAAAGTTTGTATGTCTTTTTGGCCGTAAACGTTTTGCCGGGCGTAAAAGTTTTTTTGTATGTAAGATATGAGATCGATTCATATCATCGGAATTTTAAAAACGGCAGAGGGGTATATTGAATCTTTGCACATGTCATACTCAAACGACAGTATCTAACACGCATACGTTATGGAGTTATGAGCATTAATGTGGGTGGCCGTATCATTATGACCTGGACTGTATATTTTTGCTAGCTCATCTCAAAATATATACTTACTTTTCGTAATCTCTCTGGTGGGGATGGTTTTGTTTTATATCATTACTTATTTTGGGTTATCCTAAAATTTGTGTTCTGATTGTGATTTAATAAAGGGTAATAGAGATGCCCCGTTTCTATCATGAACATTGGATTTGTCCAAGATAATTGTATAATAAAACACGCACGCCCTCGTACACTCGTGTTCACGTGACGCACGTAATATTCACATCTTTTGTCATTTCTCAATGCTAACTTTTTCGGCCGTGCTGCACTTGCAGCCACTAGTTGTGGCTGCATACGGCAAAAAGAAGATGTGATCGCGTCATCATATCTTCGGCCAAGTACGTAAACATGAACAGTTGGTGCTTATGTTGTTGTCATTGATGTAATTGTGTTTTTGCTAGTAATTTGTTATTTCAATGTTTATTGTTGTCATCGTTGTTTTTATGGTTTCAGTTGCTGCTGTTTTGTTGCTAGTGTCGTAGTTGGTGCGACTGCTGTTGCTGAAGTTGTTGTTACTGGTGATACTGCATTCGTTGTCGCTGCAACTGCTGCTGTCGTTGGTCTTGATGCTGCTGTTTTTGACACTTTCGTAGACACTGCTGTAGCTCTTGATGCAGCTACTGCAGTTACTGTGCTTAGTTTTGCTACCGGTACAGGTGTTGATGGTACCAGATTACTGCTATTGTAGTTGTCCTAGTTGTGCGATCTAATTCGTTTCCTGCTCATGCACCATGGTTGCTCTATCATATTTAACCAGTTCAATAGACGAACATGAATCCATTCTATCTGTTTGTTTCTAATTATACTAATTTGAAGCGTTCGGTCTTTTCGACTGTAGGTGTATTGCAAGGTGAAAAGGGACACATTAACCTCAAGCACATTTGATCAATGTTTTTGTGGTTTTAACTACACGAACACGTTTCTTTTTGTACTGACATGTTTCGTCTATAAGTTTGTACTGACATTTTACACTTGTGTAAATGACATGTCCGTGATATATACTCTTGTGGTGTAGTGGTCGGGAGAAATCCTGACCCATCGCATCTTTTCACATCATGGATACATATGGAACTGGTTACGCCGGACTTGGGACTAACCGCAAGATATTTTAACGGTACAATAAAAAGTCGAACGGCCATCAGTCGCGGTCACAGACGGTGACCAGCGGTCATGGTCATGGTGCTGGCATCTGATGTGAGTCGCCTCAAGCACAGGAATAGACGGCGGAGGGAATGAAGTAGCGAAAATTGATATAAACATAGGGGTAAGCGTAGTTCGAGCTCTTAATAGGTGTACAAAGAACAGTATTGTTTTAACTACAACAGAAATGCGTCAGCATCCCTACGGGCCGGAATACTTGTGGCCACCCGACGTTCAAGGTCTACTGCCCACGTGTTTGTTCAGAGCTTGTCCCTAGACTGTTTGGCTACGGAAAGGATACTCATTTCAAGTTACCCTTCAATCGTACACGGCAAGTATATAAGGCAAGGTCTCCAGACGGCTCAAGTGACCAGAAGAACAAGGTGATCAAGCGGCCAGAAGAACAAGATGATCAAGCGGCCAGAAGAACAAGGGGATAAATTGTCCACACTTGGGCAAGGCGACCTCATGGAAGGCCAGGACGGCTCTGGGAGAGTGCCACAAGTAACTGTTGGTCGTGTGAAGAATTTCCACGCGACCACACCCCACCTATCCCCAACTCGGTCAAGACAGACATCAAACTCAAGCCCCTAGAAGAATGTAACCGCCCGCCGATGGGTACACAATGTGAGAAGGAACAAAATTAGATACACGGTCTGGAGTGCCCCCTTTGTTAGTCGGTCTTCCAGGCGCAAGTGGAGAGTTGGTATCGCTTCGCAAAATGAGCGAATCCCACTCCACCACACTTCGATTAGATCAAATTGCGCTATCGTAACTTCAAGCTTGCAAAAAGCTGTGTGCAATATGAAGGTTCGATGCAACTAATATGAAAACCGGACATACAGTCCTACCTATGCTGATAGAGACATTTTTTGTGACTTGGGTAATTCACCGGTGCTGGTAATGACTTCAAGCTCCAAGATCAGCACGCTGGACGGAGAGAGTTTGAGAGGTAATAACAACACGCAAAATACATCTGGTTTGGCAATTTTTTATCCCACTCCAGCACATATGTCAGTGTAAAGAAATGAACACACTATGAATTTTTGAAATACGGTACGGAATTCGACAAGACGTTTCTATAATTTTGTCGGAATGCACCCGTCTGCACTTGGGATGCTACCCTCTTACGGTCACATCTGGTACCACACCACCTTCTGCATTATATTAATGTACTATTGAACTCCTAAATGTACCCTTGTAAAGTGAATGGATAGTAATTGACGGCGCTTCTGAATGTTTGAGGGCCTACACACATGCTAAATTCGACCTAATGTTTCTCTATAGCACCCAGCTTGCATCCTTTAGTCCTTTTCAAATATGTATTGACGTAATGTAGCATTGATTGCGAGCCCGAAGGGTAAAGTAATTAGTGAGTACGCACAATATTGTATGCCAAATTTTGACATCACACTCATGTGTGTGTGTCAGTGTGCGTCTGTGTATGTGTGTGTGTCTGTGTGCGTGTGTGCAAATATCGCGGTTAGGTGTACCTTACACATGCTGAGTGCGATCGAGCCTGTCCCCTTCTGTATTCAAAGTCACTCTTTGGCTAGGTCACTATTGTGACGCACGCACAGGATTGGCTAAAAATCGATCAAAGGTGAATGTGATCACGAAAGCAAATGCTGGACGCTCATAAGCAAAGGGTGATCGTGTTACTTACTGAACACAGATAATTCAGACATTAACAGCACCATACTCATTCTTCAGTGACTGCTGCTGTTGTATAGTGTTTTGCAACTTGATTCAGTACTCCGAACTAAATTACTTACATCAGAGGACGAGCTACAGAGATTGCTTCCCTATCGTTTACTTGCTATCTCCGAAAATAGACCTCTAATACGTTGAGCTCCTAAAAGACCGTTACGATTCAATAGTTTTCGATTGCTAGAACATACTCATGCTCTTGTTTTATGCAGCGGAATGTAATCCGCCAACAGTTACGATGATCAGTCCATAGACATGAACAACTTTTGCGGTTTCAAGCGCAACACGGACCTTGATGATAGTCGGGACATTTGCGCGATCCGCACGACCTACTAAGATGTAAATAGAAATAGGCAAGACACAAGCTCTAAAACGCGACTTCAATTGATCGCTATAATTTGACATGTCATCGAGGCTGCGATCATCATGTAAGATACGCTCGTTGCAAACACCCGGAACATGAAGAGCTGGGTACACCAGCTGAACAAGACCTCAACAGCCACTGGGTACACCAACTGAACAAGGCTTCGACAATTACTGTTCATCTGCCAGAAAAATCGCGACTTGTCAGCACGAGCGACTGCAACGTGAAACTGGTCCACCCAGTCTTCCTGTCATCACCTCGGTCGCTCCATATGTCCTTCATCATGATACGCCGACTCTACCAACGGGCTTTCCCTGATCAAAAATTGTCATCGTGTCGCGTCGTGGTCAGGATACCGCCTGCCTGGTATTCACCCATTCATGTCCTGTAATGAACGACTTTAATCGTTGGTTGTTTTCTCCCCTGCTGTAGTGGTACATGGAGTTACATGCGATATGCAACAGCCCCCATTTTCGCGAGAAGTACACCTCCATCACATCATCATCATCTTCACCATTCCTCCTTTCGCACAAAGTCCGGCCGAATCCTAGTCAATCTCTGCAATGACGGCCGACTGAGTGTGATGTCAACCAGTACGCGACTCGATCTTCGACATTTTCTATCCTCAATTCACCATAATTTGAGACCGACAAACTCAATGAGCCCATGGCAGACCGCAATTTCACTTCATTTCATCGGCTATCACTGTACAACTCCTCTCGGTATACTCATAGCTTCACCTGTGTCTACCAAGCACGATCGTCAGTCCAGAACACTGACTGCCAAACCCAAGTTTTGCCGTGATGCTGAGTAATAACGGTGGTGGGAATGGCAGCTATGGTCAAAACATGGTGCATCCAAAGTCGCCTATTCGCAAAGTTGTAGTCAAAGTAGCTTGGGTGTAAAGTAGCTTGGCCATTAGAGCTGTGAGATGAAGAACTCTGTTACTCGCTGGAGCTCGTCACCCAAGCTGCCGTCAGGTACATCAGCTACACCAATACGTCGTTGCTTGCCACAGCCATAGGATTTTAACGACAAACCGAAGAAACCATCCATAACACAGTCGACTGATGGCACAGCATTTAAAGTGGGGTGTCAGCGCCGTTTGTCACTTTGCTTCAGTCCATACTCGTCCAGATCTGCACTGCGTATGCTGATCATCTCATACATGTCTTCGGAGCTCTAATTACTGTCTGACGAGCCAAGTGGCGACCAGAACTAGAGCCTGCCTTGGGACTCGGGCATCACAAACTCGTTTTTGTCTTTGCCAACGGAAATGACTGTCAAAGCTGACGTCGTCACTACTACTTCGCTCTGCGCCATCTTCGCTAGAAAAACGTTCTCGATTTGCAACTTTTCTATGTTTGTCTTCGACACACCACCATCTCAGACAAGAGGACAATTCCAAAGAATGAACACATAGTCGGCCCATCGGGATCCTTCTGGTTCAAAGAAAATATGCTACAGAAAAATTACACATGTGTTTGAAGACGCCCCACGCCATCGAGCTGAAGACATCCACCCTTTCTCGTTTCATCAAAATCGCGACTAGAAGCAACCTTTCTTCGTTTTCAACAAAACAGTGTCGACGAAATGATCGCTGACTGACTCGAGTCGACCGAAAGTCGTTGCATACAACCTGCCAGCAGTATTTTTCACTCGCAAAACGCTAGTAACGCCATGGTCGCCTGCTGCGGAGCATCCAAAGATTAATTGAGCCTGAGAAACACTTGCGACCCGCACAGCTGCTTTAGTCTCAAGAAAATGCCTGGACAGCTGTGCGCATTGTGCAGTTGTGAGCCGGTAGAGTAACGTCGTTTGACAACCTCGTGGACGATGCGCTGCAAAATTGGTGAGTTTATATGCTAAACAAAGACTCGAGTATCGAAGCGCGATACTGAAGATATGCCACACAAAGCGCCTCAGTGAAACGTTGACACATAAAGATGCATTCTAGCATCGTCATCCAAAGTTTGACCACTAGCTTCCTTTTCTTACGTGAGTGGTTAGCATCACCTGGAACAACGTCGCAATAAACTTATCGTTGTAGAAGCATCACACATTCGTGCAGCTTTTTTCAAAGCCAGCAAGCCAATTCTCGACGTACTTCGGAAGTACCTCCCGAAATCACTCACAGCCAGACACGACAAGCCAAGTTTTGACGCACGCCTACAAGCTTCCCCACATCACTACTCATAGCCAATCTTCGTCCGCCTGTTTAGTAGCTTTCGGCGTGTTTGAGTCCCAAATAGCCAACGAGGTGTCGCTGCACTGCAAGCGGTACAGCCACGGGTGGGCTATGTCCTCATATGTGACTGAGCTACCATGAGATCTATACCGGAGCGCTTCAGCCAACGTATCCTTATCATCAATCAGTCGATCCGCACCCTGCAGCGTCGTGCTACTTCTCGTTACGATTGATCGGCGGTCCTCGCTGGAAAAAAACATCTCACAGCACTCTGGGCAGCAGAGCTCACGCTGTCCTTCCGCCACGTTCAGCTCTACTAGTTCACAGGTCATTCCACACCGGTAGCAATCCTGACCCTCCGTATCCCAACTCTGAGGCAAACTGAGCGACGGACTTGCGGCAGAACCAAATGCTACAGTAGAATGACGCTCAAAGTGCAGCTCCATTTGTAAACTGCAAAGAATCTCCTGGATCTCGTCGATCACACTTTTCTTAACGAGCACCACACGGGCAGGTTTGTCTTTAAGGACCTCGCAAACATCCGGATTGTCGTGGAAAAGCGAGCTCACTAGCGGATCGGACAATGCCTTGAAATCGTCGTCTTCACTGTGCTCTTCATATTCTTCGTTTTCATTGTGCTTCCCATGCTTAGCAAAGGTCTTTGGATCTCCATGCTCAATCGTTTTCTTGACTTCCCGTGCACGGACAAATCCTACCTTTGTGTCCAACGACGTACTGGCAGACTCCTTCTCACCCGCACAAATCTTTGAGCTTACCCCGTGACAACCATCAGAGTAGCAATACTTGTTACTCTCCTTGTTATCCAGACTACCGTCACTAAGTGAACAGTCGAGTAGACCGTCGATTGACGCTACATTTGCAGCCAAGTACCGCTCGTTACCACTGTCGATATTGGCGACATCGTCATGATCATTTTCGCGTTCGTGCGCAGCAGCTATCCGCTTCTTGTCAGTATACTCATGTACCTCATTACCTGTATGCTCTCTTTTAAGCGTGACAACCACTTCAGACGACTCCGTCTGCTGGTCAACCAATACTTGATCTTTTCGTCTGGTGACATAATAAGAGGCATCCTCTGGCTTCATCAACCCCGACTCCACCACCACACACTCCTCGGTAGTCTCAGCTTTTGTCTCGACTGCGCAATTTCCTTCCGTCGTGTTGACCGGTGAGAGCTTCTCTTGCTGCCTCTCACTCTTTCCTGCATCACTGCTAGCCGTTAATAACACTGGAGTAGCAGTGCTGCTAAGCCCCGGTGTGGCGTGGTGCTCAATCACCCTACCATCCTTCACCGCAAAGTCGCTGAGCGAAATAAAGCCATCAGCTTGGGTTACGCACGCTCGTGCATGAAGTGTCGAGATGGCAGCATCACTACTGACCGAAAATGAATGGTCTATCGAGGAGAGGGGCCGGTCAGCAACTGGCGACACCGTAATGGAAATGTCACCTTGCATCGTCTGCATACTCTCACCCGATCTATGGCCGAAAAATCCAAGATTGCTGGGCGCGATGGTACAATCCGTTTCGTCAGCAGCTTCAACCTTATACTTATCCTTCTGCTCATCCACGCTTGTACTGCTAACATCACAGTTCTTCTCATTGCACGTCGGAACCATAGCACCATTTTGTAATATGGTGTACGGTAACAAATTGGAGTGTGACTCCTGGTCGAGCGGGTTTCTGGATGTATAAGGCGGCTGAAGGTCTTTCGACGCGATTCGGTCGTCCAGGTTGTTTTGCTTCGCCAAGCACGCCTTGGCATAGACGAATAACAGCTTTGACTGCACTGTTCCTTCCTTAATGTCTAGTACTGACATACCTCCAAACTTGCATTCTTTCACGGACTTTCCCGTCGCTCGGGCAACAATGCCAGCGGCATCATCAAAACTCATCTGCAACGAATTGCTTGTCGCGAGACTATCGAGTGAAGCTAGCGGTGAACGTGCTGCTCCAGTAGAAATTGTAAACTTCAATTGTGTTGACTTGTTCTCGGGTAGTGCATACTGCTGCTGAGTCACAGTTGAACGAGCACGCGTTCGTGCGGGTGGCAGCTGTTCCTGCTTTTGACGGTGAAAGCTAACCACATCCTCCTGCTGTCCGCGACGGTGCGACATCATGCGCGTGTCACTTTTTACATTGAATCGCGGCGCGAGCATGGGCGGCTCTTGAAGGGAGTCAAAAACGTCTTCTGGACCACCGTCGTCTTCTTCATACACGAGCCCTCGATCTCGCGCGTAGCTACTTATTGAGCTATTCGAATGTCGTCGCTCCTTGGCTTGGCCGTCAGAAGCTTGACCATGCTTCTGTGGCTCACGAGCTTCAATTGACTGTGTTTCAAACTGCGCGGTATAATCCTTCAAGTACTGCCGTGGCTCCATCGACTGCACATCGTCCTCGCTGTGGTAACAATAGCCCCGGTTCGTTTTGTGTTGATGAGGAGCAACACGGTCCACACTATTATTACGACGCGGAGGTCGTGGGGCCGGCTCCCCCTCAGGCTGAGGAACCGTCAGGCGTCTCGTCTGCATCGATGCCTCTTCGTTCGGTGCATCAAATGGGTCCACAAAGAGTCCATTTGCTGCGTCCAGCACCACGCGGTTCGAAGACGCGTGGAACCGCAGCACCACGGGCTTGTCCACCACATGCAGCCACCTCAGCACCTTTTCAAGACCGAGCGCCTTGGTCTTCTCGCCATTAATCGCGACGAGCACGTCATTAACGCAGATGCGGTCCATGTTGCGTCCTTGGCCGCGGCTCGTGCTGATAAAGTCGACGCAAGGAACGTTTGCGCTCGAGCTGTACGCCCGAAAAGAGATCCCCAGTGAGCCTCGCTCCCACACGACACTGTACTGTTTCCGCTGGCGCCGGCGCTCGCCTGGCTCGACGCTTCTGCTCTTGCGCTCGTCGTCGTCTCTTCTCGTCTTTGTTTTCGTCTTCGTCTTCCGAAGGTTACGGGGTACGTTGTCCTCGACGGGTACCTTCGGACAACATTTCTCCTCCGTCTCCACCAAAGGCGGTCGAGACGTCGTCCGACAACGTCTCGAGCTGCTTGTATGAGCCCGCCCGCGGCCACGCTCGATGATATGCCGCGAGCGGAAGTGCAAGATCATGGGCAGGCGCTCTTTAAAGAGCAGACGCACCACTTTCTCGTAGCCGAGATGCGTCGTTTTTTTGCCGTTGACGCTGATAAGCACGTCGCCTTCTCGCACGCCTGCCATCTTGACGACTGAAGGCTGCGGCAGTAGCTGGGCCACGACTGGGGGCACGTCTTGGCCCCCATCAGGTCGGAACACGACGCCCAAGGGTCCAGCATTCCAGTTAATAAGGAACTCCTGACGGTCCTCAGCGTCTGGGGGCGCAAGCAGCTGCGCCGCCATCCACGACAAGCAAAAGGAGAGTGATTGCTGTCCGCACTGCTACTGACTCAGTAGGTCAAGTTAATAGAACGAGTGCGGAATCGAAAGTCTGTTGGGGCTACGAGGGGCTAGGGATACGAAAACAAGCTGGTGCAGTCCGCCTGTCCGTAATACGGCGACAGATGGTGCGAAAGTGCACAAAATACGAGCCCACGAGAAGTGCTGAAGTAGGACGACGATGTATGACGGCGTTAACGACAGTGCAATCACAGAAATTTGTGCTGCAACAATCCATTAAGTCGCTTGTTTTCGGTACTGAGCTGCCTCGGGCTATGGCGAACCTCTGGAATGCCGCCCAATACTGCAGCTTTTTTACAAAAGACGTCAGCAAATGATGTGGGCTCATAACAGCGAGTTTGCAGAGTACTAGATGTGGCTAGACCTCGGGTGAGAGTGCGGCAACTAAGTGTCTTAGTTCAAGGGCAAGAAAATGGCACTACGCGTTGAAAGCTATAGTGCTGCGAGTAAAGAAGAGAATGGAATACATCTAGAGATGGCAGGTAAAAGAGTACGCAGACGTGTGGGAGCAACTGTGGTATGCACTGAGCAGTGTATGCCTTACTAGCTAGTGGGTAGTGTAAAGCATTCCTTCGTACGGAGGTTAATATCAAAGGCAGCGCCAAGGAATTCCAGGAAACAGGTATACGTGACTTCGAGCTGTGGGTATGCATGGGGCACCCCTGCTATGATGAAACATCAAAGCGCAATACAAGCGTCTCTCGATGTGACAAGTCCCTTACAACCACCCGATTCGCAAGATGAATCAGCGTTGCTAGCCAGGTTCGAATCTATTAAACGTCCTGCAACCAGTACAAGAAACATGGACACATTCGCCTCTGGGTCCCCCTCTTTACGGAGTTATTTTCTGTACACCTCTTTGCTATCATGTCCACTACTAGTTATCCGCTGAGTCGTCGGGAGAAGCACTGGATTTGTAAGCAAGGCATGCGCGGCTCATGCAAGGACAAGTCATGCCTAGAACATCGCGAAGCCATTGGATTAAAACAGATATCTGTACGTAGCAATGTGTATCACCATTTTTGTGTGTCGGTCTCAAGTCGAACGTATATTCCGCTTGATAAAAACAGAGAAATATCGCTGTTCGATAAGATCGTAGTGAATCATAACGTGAGCAGATTTGGGAAGAGAGACAAGACGTGATGTGGTGATAAAGAAGACTGATGGTTATTTAAGAGGAAGGAATTGAAAAGCTGTAGGGAATGCCAAAAACGTGGCGACGCAAACCACGTTTTTGGTATTCCATGTAGCTTTTATTCATTTTCAACCTCTCAAAATAATCATCAGTCTCCGTTCAGAGAACGGGCGGATGCAGTTAATTTCAAACTCCTTTCATTTACTTAGTCCAGTAGATCAAAGTCACATCTTGATCATTTGTTTTTCACTTATTTCCGTCTGCACGATAGACCGTCAGGGTAGTGCGCGTTAAGTGCCAGAGCTGCGCAAAATTTGTTATTAGTGATAAATTGGGTAATTATTTAATACAGTAGCCGAAAGCTGTGATGCCTTGTCGACTAGTTTACGTGCGTCATATCCGGGCAGCCGCTTGACCCGAACTTCAAGCGAGCTCCGTCATCGCCGAAAAGCAAAGTATTAACTACAAAGAGACTATATCACATTGTCCGGAAAGAGCGCAAGAAAAATCCAATCGGTCGGACAGTATACGGTGGTCTTGCTGCTTCCGTCGATCACCTTTTTCAATCGAGGATCACAGGCCTGATCATTGCTTCTTTATCGAGCCTGCTTGACCTGCCGCCAACTTCCCGTCACTAGGTTGTTATCGTCGAATGTACTTCACTTTCTTCAACTACAAGAGTGTCTTTCAAAGCAACTGAAAGGCGCACAAGCATGATCATCTGATCCTGTTTGATGGTGGCCTACTGACCGACCAGCGGCCGCTGATGATCACAATTTGGAGAACGACCGTCAGGGTTTACACGAGGTTTGATCGTTTTGCTAGTAAAAAACACGTTTGCTAAACAAGTTAGCTGCGTGGGTGCAAACTCTAATCTATAACACAAATATAGAGGGGTCGATCAACGTATACTTGTCGTATTCATGTTACGTTGCCGTCGGACATGATTCAGCATTAGCTGTGCAGGTAATGTAGAGCTGGCGAGAGTGTGTTACGCCATTATTTGATCAGTATAGTGGTGCGATAGCGAATTCCAGAGGACCTGGTGCGACGATGCTGTAAGGATGGCAACAAAGTGCGCACTTTTTCGTATCGCTAGGTCATGCGGAGATACAAACGAGGGTATGGGATGTAAAAGACATCCACATCTACGGCTGCAAGATCTAGCCACTAGCGTTTATTACCGCACACGTTGTTTCTCGTCGTGTCCATTTGATTGCGTCAAAACGGGTTAGCGCAAACTCATTCGATAATAGCATCGCGGTCGTGCGGCCGCCATTGCGAGATCACCATCAATAGGCGCATGACCTTACCGTGACAAGATCGTGACGGATCGTCACCTACAATCTCTTTTGTGGGCAATCCTATCTTTTAGTGTAAAAAAACCCAACTCGTACCAATCTACAGCATTTCACGAGCCGGTAGACCAACCACATCATGAGCATGCTCCACTGTCTCAAGGTTGGTATCTTACTGAAGAAACATGCTTACATCTGCAGTTCCTCGATTTTTTACCGCCACTAGTTCGAAATGTAAATGAACTGTGATGTCAGAATCCATCGTCATTGTCATCCCGTTGCGTTTAGTCTACGTTTTGTTCATATTCCTGTCGTACTCACAGTTTCAACCAATCAACGACGCGTCTACCCGCGTACGATGTTCTCTAATTTCCCGCTTCTTCTGCTTCAAGCTTCGCACTCGAAAAGAACGGTCTCTTCGCCCCGATACGCCGTCTCCTAGTCTTTCCGTCGATCTCGTACTCACCCCATACTCAGTCGGCTACGATGCTCTGTCGTCTCCGCCCAAACAACCCCCTCCTCACGAGCGTGTCTCATCTGCAGCTGGCCACGCGCATGTTAACGATCACATCGTGCCGCGCCTTCCCGCTCTTGTACGGCAACCCCAACCACTCTCAACGACTGCCCAAGCACTGCCGCATGCCGAGTGGTGTATGGTACACCACCACGGTTCCCCCCACCAGTGATAACCACCCGAAAAAAGCAGCGACAGGCGGCGACCGACTCTGCTGTCCGCAGTGCAGCGTGCCCCTCGTATTGGCCGAGCCGCTCAGTGCGGACAAGTTGACGTCATCAAATCTAAAGGGAAACACGACATTGAATACGTCAACTTCAACTTCAACGTTGCCAGAGTTTAAAAAGGGTGACGTGGTCAAGTGCGTGAGTTGCAAGTTGTACTTTGCACTCAAAGTGCAACCTTCAACACCCCCTAACCCGACATTCCGCAACGCTGCAGCCGCTGCCGCACTGAGCTCCTTGAGCTCATCGCTGTCTCCAGGCATGTCAACCCCACGTGGATCCACTGCGGGTGGACCGTCGTACGGCGGCAGCTTCCTGTCCCCCACGCGGCCCAGCTCCATGAACGCCGACGGCGAGTACGCGAAACTGGCGACCGATGGTGCTGTAGCCAGAGCAGCAAGCGACGCGAGTGCGAGGAAAGATCTCGTGCTGACTCCGCGGGAGATCTACGATGGACTGAATGAGTACGTGGTGGGCCAGAGCAAGGTGAAGAAGACGCTGGCGGTCGGTGTATACAACCACTACAAGCGCCTGCAGGCTTTGGATCTGCTGCAAGCAAGGAGAGAAGCAGATGCATCGTGTGCTAAGTCTAACGAGCAGCATGTAGGTGTAGGGGCTACAGGGGCAACGGGCCAACAAGGGGATGCGAACGACGCACGGCGATCAATTCTCGGTCGTCGGTTGCTGCTGGAAGAGATTTACCCTACCCCAGCAGCCGAATGTCGCAAAGAGTTTGAAGGAACGACGCGCCAGATGCTGAACGACTCGTCGGGGTCCAATCTAGCCGCAGCTCACGCTCCTGATGCTGCAGTCCAGAACAAGTTGCAATCACTGGAAGGTGTCGAGCTGGACAAGACGAATATCATGCTCGTGGGCCCCACAGGCTCGGGGAAGACGCTGCTGGCCAAGACGCTGGCCCGACTGGCTAAAGTGCCGATTGTAATTGCCGATGCAACGTGTTTGACTCAAGCCGGGTACGTGGGCGAGGACGTCGAGTCGGTTTTGTTCAAACTGTACCAAGCTGCCAACTATAACCTGGAAGCTACTCAGCGTGGTATTGTGTACATTGACGAGATTGACAAAATCACACGAAAGAGTGAAAACGTGAGTATTGCACGCGACGTGTCGGGCGAAGGTGTGCAGCAAGCGCTGCTGAAGCTCTTGGAAGGAAGTATGATGAACGTACCGGAAAAGGGCGGTCGCAAGAACCCGCGCGGCGAGTACATTACGATTGACACGACCAACATTCTGTTTATCTGTGGTGGCGCATTTGCCGGTCTGGAAAAACAGGTGACCAGTCGTACAGCGCAGTCGTCGATTGGCTTTGGTGCTACGATGCCCAATATGCGCCTGAAAGACAGCGATCAGATTGGCCAGTTACTGTCTCACGCTGAGCCAGAAGATCTCGTGTCATACGGACTGATTCCCGAGTTTGTTGGTCGGTTTCCATTGCTTGTGAGCACAACGGGTCTGTCTAAAGACGAGCTGGTGCGAGTTCTCACCGAGCCAAAGAACAGCCTTGTCCGGCAATACAAGGCACTCTTTGCGTTGAATGACGTGGAATTTCACGCGACGGAAGGTGCGCTGGAGGCAGTGGCACAGTTGGCGCTGCGCAAGAACACTGGCGCGCGAGGCCTTCGCTCCATATTTGAACGTGTGCTCATGGAAACCATGTTTGACTTGCCTGACAAGAACGATGTGCATGCCGTATACGTGGACGAAGAAGCTATTCTTGGACACAAGCAGCCGGTGCTCATTCGGGGTGCAATGACGCTCGATGGGTACCTCAAAAATCTTGAGGATGACAACGATAAACGGGAAGAGGCTGTTTAATTGGCAATCATTGGTCTTGGTCTTGGAAAGATATGCGGCACGGTAGCCGTCCTCATGTGTTTATGCGAAAAGCAGTCTATTGCGTCGTTCTGTCGACCCTGGAACAGCGAAAAAGAAAGAAACAAAAGGAACAGGCTACGTCGTTTAGGCGAAGCGAGCTCTCGCAGCAATTGATGGGAAATGGCGTTCAGGGAGATAGCTGGATACATCGCACAGCGGCAACGTGCAGTTTGCAAGATGAAAAAAACCCCAGGTGTTTGTGGCTTGACCTCATGATCGCCGGCTCAAAGCGCCGCAGAAGACGTCAACAGAAGACAACGGCACCAATAGTGATCTATGAGGTGCTTAAGCACAGCGATGAGGTACATGTGCGGTTTAAAGTCGGCGGCGATTCGAGAAGTACACGATATTGCTTGTCTTACTACGTTTCAAGGGGTTATCTACTCTGCAATGCGATGCGGCCGAAATTCATCATTGTACAACAATAAAAGCACGACAACGTCAATGAGCAGTCGATCACAAAGCTAGACGTGGAAGCGAGGGGGGCGTCGAATCAGCACCTTTTTACTGCAGCAGGTCCAGTCGAAAATGCGTGTTGTCAAAACTCGAGTCGTTACTATTTTTTTGCAGCTAGTCAAGCTGGCGCTCAGGGGGGCGCCTCAACCTACGTATTAACTACTGTCCACCGCCAGCTGAACAAAGGGAACATCGTAGAAGTTTAGCATTGATGACGCAGCTTGTGATTGCAGTTTGCGGCTCATCAAACAGGACACGATACTTGAGGAGCTTGCACCAAAGCACGAAGCTTGTGCTTTAGCAGTCAACACCAATTCGGCTGGTATCTTTGGCCAACAACATCACGGAGCAATTGTCAACGCCGCGTGAAGTAGGGTAAGAACAGCGCAGCCGATTTAGCTGACACCGACTCGCGACTTGCTGAGTACAAATTCTCTCCAATGGCTTTCATGGAAGAGCACAAAATAGATCACTGAATAAGATTTAAGGTACGCAATGCGCGATACGCTTTCCAAAAGAATGGTGATATACGCGAGAAACTATCGGTGATTTACGCGAGAAGCTACCGAAGAGGCAGGCAATATTTTTTTCTACTGGAACGGTGGTATACTCGATCAGACAGCTTGTCGCGGATAAAATGAGCGAAGCACGGCACGCTAGCACATGTCTCCACATTGCGAATACCAAAATAGCAGCACCAAGGAAAGATAAATAGCCAATTCTTTCCAAAACTGCGGTCGACGCTATTGGTCGAATTCCGTGTTAGTTTTCCAGATAGATGCTCATCAACTCTCAAAGCATACGCGTCTACGCTGCGACAAATGGAAGTGGCATCTTGTCAATCTTTCGAAAGAAGCTATCACAACAATGGAACCGTTTTAGCAAGAATCTTGTGAAGCACTATCGTGGCGTCTTCAAGCTCCATGTCGGGCAAGATGTTCGCCGCCGTCTCGTTATCGGTCATTGACGAGAGCGAGGACTCCATTTCTCGGCAAAGCGAAATGAGATGATTGATCCTGTGGCACTTCTGCGGGAAGGTTCCTGATTCGTCTGCAGGCCGTTTTCGTGTTGTCACCGAGACATCTTTGCTGCCTTCATTAGGGTTCGTATACAGTTCGGACGGTTCATCACGAAAACGATCGCTGAAAGCACAGTATTGAACATGGCGGCTCCGCTGAAGAGACTGCACCATACGAGATTGAACTATCTCCAACGCCTTCGCCACATCTTCCGAAGAAAGCTTTCGCATCAATGCGGTCTGTCGGAACGACTCAAATTCTCCAGATACTATTAAACGTAGACTCACACCCGGCACCTCGACAATGTTTGAGTGCGCAAACAACTTGTACAAGGCATCGAGGCTCAACGAAAGAAGTAATGGCGCTCGGGTATTATGGCAGCTCATAATGTAGGTACGATCAAAGATCTGTTTGAAGAGAGCGAGCAGCAGTCGCCAAGTTACAGCCAAGTCCTCACAAGCTATGTGCATATCAAACAGCGCTGCGTCCACAAAAAGTGCCGTATGGACCATTACGCTTAGGGAACCGTTGTGCTTCAAGTTTGGCCCATTTGCCATTATCGTGGTCAGGTCCTTTATTGCTTGGACGCACCGGTTCTTAGAATTACACTTGAGCACAGATCCAAGCCTTGTAAGTAAATACAAAGACGTTTCAGTAGCCCGTTCAATGCATCGCAACGCAGCCTCCTCCAGCGTCACACTTTGGCTCGATCGCTTCGACAGCGGCTGAAGACCTCTCCCCACCACTTGTACGACCATAGCCTGCTTGCCATGTATTGCAAGCTGTGATAACGCGTCGGTAGATATACGAACCAAAATGACCGAAAACTCCATAAAATCACCGTTCTTCAGCATACTGTCATCTAAAATGCTCCTCAATACAAGAAGGCATATGTCAAGTACGCGAATCATTCCAAGAACGCTACCACGCTCGTCCGGTAATGCTTTAGCCTTAGACGACAAGAGGTCGAGAATTGTACTACAGCACTGGAAACAGATGGGAAGATACTTAGCAACCCACTCCTCCTTCATCGGTCCATTGTACAATGCCAAAAGTCGAACACCAACTAGTCTCTCGAGCAGGTGCGCTTGGGATGCCACTTTCACATTAAACTCATGACCAGGGCCTTCACTGCTGACTAAATCGATAACTGCAGTTACTTGGTCCATACACATATCCTGGAGAGAGATAGGCAAATCAGCGTACACGAACGCAATCAAGCGGAGAACTTCATCTCCGACTCCATTCGCCAGCACGAACAATCCATCGGAACTTTCATCGTTCCACTGTGTGGTATCAAGTAACATCTGGAGGACCTGCGCACCAAGCGCTTCGGCCCAACAGAAGCACAAAAGTTCCCGCCAGATCTCCCAGCATAGTGTTTGTTGGGACCAATCGGGATACAGCGTTTGCTTTAAAAGCGCCAACTGTAGCTCTGCCGTGCTACGAAAACTTACAAGGCATCCTAGCATCACATCCGTGAACAACTCAGTTACTTCGATCGAGTGGAACTTCGGATCAGTCAGTTCACATTTTCGGTATCGTGCAAACAGCTGCGTGACTTCGGCAGCTCTGTGGAAATCGTCACTTGATATAACTTCCCCAGTGCTGTCCGTGAGGACGTCTCCACTTGGACCCGCAAATACAGTCAGTAATAAAAGGTGGCTCCACCGAATCGCGCTCTCAATGACCGTATTCGCCTTATTCGACTGTTGACGCTGCCTTACCGCACGCACCATCTCTTCAGCAGGATACCAAAGTAAAACGCGCATTTTCTTCCTAATTTGGCGATCAATAGCACTCCCCGCTAGCTTCTCAGAAATATCTAGTGCTTGATCAGCCATGTCCCGCAGCTCTTGCTGAGATCCAGAAGCCTTCAGGACCCAGTCGTGCTGTGCAGCGTATAGCAAACATGCGTTAACATTAACAATTGCCAAGACACAATTTTCCAGCTCGCGCTCCACAGAACCCGCAAAAAATGCAACCAGTCGCTGCAATACTCGCCAGTACAGCTTTAGAAACCTCAGCACACCCATATCCAGCATCTCGATAGATGATCCATTTAAATCGCGTAATAACTGACCAGCACTCCATTCCAACGAGACCACAATAGCAGCCAACATGTCATCCACACTAAAAGTTCCCGTTCCATCCTTATCACCAGCGTCATCCCCTGTTCCAGCACCACTAGTCATCGTACAACCAAAGACCGCCGCCAACTTGACTACATTCTACACAACGAAATCACAACCACCCAGCCAAATAACCACTTAGCCATATAACCATTCATTCTTTCCCACCCGCCACACCCTCACCTTCCACACAAACGTCTCGAGTCGCAAGTCACGCGTAGCATTGTCGTCTGTCACTCCCTTTTCGCGCAGTTGCATCAACAACGACGCGATCTTCACCAAATAACCTTTCGATTCTCCGCAATCAACTCGCACCCTCTGTTCAATCTCCGTAGTCTCCTGCTGCTTCAACAACGCCGTATTCTGACGCCATATAGCCAGCACTCGATCTCCTAATTGAAGCCACCTTCGAACATCTCCACCGTCGCCTGCACGGGTCGTGGCGTATCGAAACAACTGCAGCAGCACTTCCATTACAGCATCAATCTGTTGCACGGATTCCTGGGCGATCCAAGCTAGTAGAGCGTCTAGTAGCTTCTCTCGCACCGCACACGTACTTGACTCTTCGCTTAAGTACGAAATTGACATCTGCATCGCCACGATCCAGCGCTCTTCGGACGCCGTCACAAAAGCTACTGCGTCATCAATTGCTGCTTGACATTCTGGAGACGATACGACGTCGGAGCGACATGCCTGTAGCTTGGCCGCGATGGTGGCAGCGTCGGCAGTCGCTGCACGTGGGCGCGTCACTTTTCCTATTTTTGGCTCGACAGGTCCGATAATAGGGCAATCGAAATCGGAATTTGCGCTTTCTTGCGATGTTACGCGTCGTTTTAACGTTTTTACAAAATTAAAGTCGTTTGTGATTTTGTGCCTGCGTGCGAGCAGGAGACTAAAAGTGGTACATGGCTTCATGGAATTTGCGACCACGAGAAAAACACGGAGCCCTTTTTAGATGAAGACAAGATTTATCACACGTAGCGAAATCGACTTCCTATCCGCGGTCTAAAAGATGCTTCGATACTGAAAGTCAAACATTTGCCAGTTCAGCACATTTGCTTTCGGGTCTATAGGGGATGCTAATGTCAGTGCCGACATCGTCAATCAATTGCGTGGACTGTCTGTCCTCAACAAGTGTACTTGTACCCATATCCGCTCATGTTTGTTCTTCCTCTGGCGTCTAAAAGCGAGTGATGACCGTCAAACCGTTCACTGAAAAGGAAGTGCGTTCGCAGGCTAAGCATGGCATGACCCGCGGAGCAAGAAAAGCCCTCGATCGAATGAGAAGTTAAGGCACTACGAAATAAGATCCTGTCTGATAAGTACTAGTAGCATTGCCCTGTGCCTTGCATGCCGCGCTATATCGGACACAAGCTTCGCTTTAACTTTGTCCGGGGGATATCCTTCCATGTACCAAATGCACGATTTGCGGCACAAAGTCTAAAAAATATGGCTGCCTGTCGCTAAGACTACAATTGTATCCCTTCAAAGCTCCGTAAACTTTTTACAAGTTTTGTGGTACACCGGCATGCACACGACAACATGCACCTGCAGGTACTTGCACGTGAACCAAATTAATCAGCCTTATGCTACTCCACAAAAATTAGCAGTGCACAGCTACTCGATCCTTCCTACGGAGAGCTCAATGCGAATCCACCTTATGACATAACATGCCTCTCGGTCGCTCTGTGCCCACGCTCATCCAAAATACTATCTGCATCGTAGTCTTGCAAAGAATATACGATCATTTGCTCACACACAATCTGTTCGCGATCGTTGTCAACCCCGTTTTGTGCATCGCTAAACTACTGGCAGCACGCATCTGTTGTCAGACGCCATGATGACCACCCTCCCGAATGTGTAATAATCAGCTTCTGACAAACAGCTTGGCTGATGATTGCCGAAATACAGCACTCTACCTCGATTGGTGCTTCACCACCTGGTGAATGGAGCAAGTCGAATGAGCGTTGCGGAGAATGAACACCTGTGCTTCGCCTGGACTCTGTATGTGCTACAGCTCGGACAGTTGGCTAAAAATACATCATAAGAATGCTAGTCACGCCATATCTACCCCGCCCCGCTTTGAGCGATAATCTGTTGGCTGTCAACCTGCTCGAGCTGACAGTCGTTGCCTCTCCTTCCGAGCCATCTGGTGACCTTCTATCTGTGCTTTGTCCTGTATTTTTGGCAGTCGCCGCAATGATTGCGTGTTGCATGAACGCAACCTTCGTCTCTATCTCGACGATCCTCATCTGAAGTCTAGCCTTCAACGGTTGCAACGCTCCATTCGTCACGAGAGAGGGTCGGCATCGAAACGTGGTCGGGTACACTCGTAGCAGCTCAGACCCTCACGTGTGACCTCATTTTCCAACTTCGGTCGTACAACCTACCCAACCCAACACAGACACCTCCACAACCAAGATGAAACTCAGCAACATGATCGGTGTGCTAGGCGTGGCTGCTTTTGCATTCTCGAGCAACACTGTGGATGCGTCGACGGCAGCTGCGCAGACGTCGGGACACCTGCGTCATCGATACCACCGACATGATCACAACCACCGGTCCGGATACGATAACGACGACGACGGCGACAGCTCTGACTACGGAAGGGGAGGTAATCGCAATCAGTATGGCCGCAGGAACGACAACGACGATGATGATGACGACAGTCGCGATGACTACAACTCGGGCGGCAACCGCAACCAGCGTGGCTATGGAGGTGCAACAGCAAATTTGAACAATTACGGTTCACCCGCTAACAGCGGTGCGACTGCCAGTGCTGGTGCCAACGTCGGTAATGGTGGAGCTGGTGTACCTGCCGCTGCGGCAGCCACTGCAGGCGCCCGTTCGAACGCAGGTCCTGGTGTAAACCGAGGAGTTGGAGCGAATGCAGAGGCAAGCAGCAACGCTGCCAACGGGTACAGTACCGGCGGAGCTGTTCCGAAAGACGTGTACGCCCAGTAGACTCTGCAGACGACCGTGCAGACCGGTGGCCTCCATCGCTTGCTCGCGTAAACGGTTCATAGTCCTTGCCTGAGAGCGGTAAGCACAAGCTTGTGGTCTGCATTTTACTACGGACAGCTCACGGGACGCTTGAAGCAGCTGAGATCACCTTAGCACGGCCCAAGACAAATACTGCCTCGAGTCTGACAGACGTGGTGTGCTTTTGATTGGGGTACCGTCGTAGTTTTACATGTAGTTTTGATGAGTGTAAATGGATGTCAGTGCACACAAACTCGATATGATCATTTCCTGACTTGTTGTTCCTGTTTTCATCGCGTCGGTAGCTGTGTGCAAGGTCTATTTAGCTGCTCTCTATGACACCATAACAAGTGTGCGCGTGTGGAGGGGCAAACAAACGCAGCGCAAGATTTCCACTTGACAACACATTGGAAACGGATAGAAAGCGGAGACGTAAGACTGATTGAATTGTGCGAGGACTTACAGCGCCAGCTGCTGCTATGCGAGATGACATCTAGTGTGGTGGTGGTTGTGTCGTCACTAGGCCTCCAAGCATCAAAGCAACATGCGGCGATCTTGAGCTTGTCCAACGCATCAAACGTTCGATGCTGTGTCGAGGTGCAAGTGCATAGTGGAGCTCACAACACGGTGAAAGTACTCGCACATGACGCTTCAATGAGCTGCATCAGACCCCATTATGCCACCGCATTCGTGTGTTGCGAGGCGTGCTCGGTTCGTATTGTTGCTGAAGTCTTAGGTGAGCAAGTTGAAGCCATGCAAGCTCAGTCCTCCAAATGGTGTACTAGACTATGACGCCCGTGTTCGACGGCAGGCTCACTCATACTGTTACCTTTGATGGCTTCGACAGTTTCAGACCAAACGGAGTGCTTGACAAGCTGTCTGAAGACAGTCATTGTACTTTTGTGAGCCACGGTACAAACTACATTCTACCACTCGGTCGCTCTGTGTCCACGCTCTTGCGCGATGTTGTCCTAACCGTTGTCGTGCAAAGAGCATAAAACGTGTGTATGTTACAACACGGGAGCGCATGCTGGGCGACACGCTTTGATGGAGAGTGGGGTAAGATCGGGGACGATCATTTTATGTTTCTGCGAACATTCCGTTCCAGCTGCTTACCTTGAACGGAGACTTAAAATTGATGCGAGACGCTGTCGTTCGACTTCCCTCAACTGCTTTACAAGTGTAAAGGGGTTACACACAGTTGGGTACATAGTATCCTGAGTCTTAGACACACGGATGATATACCACTGAAAGAGATATGGAATATCTGAAAGGTTCATAAGGACTGACTCGTGTCAGTCACCAGATAGGAGAGATCTTAGTTGTACAAACTTAGGACATAAGTGTCTAGATTAGGATTAAGATATTCTACAGGTGTAAATGTAGATAAATATCAGCCCCCCTTTTGATCTTATAGAAACGTGCCTTGCGAGGCGTCTTTGGTCGTTGACCACTGATCAAATAGAGTTAGCAACACCTCCCTGAGGTAGCAAGTTACTCTTGAGAACTAAGTGATGTCGATTCATTGAATCGTTTGGTCCCCTGGAACAAGGACCATAAGCTTTACGCTTGTTGACTCCTTCAGTCTAGTTCTTTAAAACCAACTTGCTCATTGAGCGTTAAGTCTTCCTCGGACTTAAGAAGCTGTGTAGCTCCGCTACACTTGGTAGTAATCGTGGTCAATCTACGCCTGAGTCTATTTAGACTGATCCTCTGTGAGGATGGAAAACCCCACACCACTCTCTGAGACCCAAAAGGTCGCGCTTGATAAGCTGACCGCATCTTTGGGTCCTGAGTACATAGAGTTCCTTGTTTTACAAGGCCCTGAGGTGCTAAATGCATGTGTTGAAGGAACCATGCAGTTGTGGTAAAGCAGGCCAAGACAATTTGGGCGATCGTTGCTGCGGCAAAGCGGATCGAAACAATGGAGGAGATCGTTGGGTGGAGTGATCGCAAATCACGACAAATCGCTGAGAAGGAATGATTGGCTGTTAAGTTGCGGGATGTCGAGATCGAAAATCACAACAGCGAGATCGATTATCACGACAACGAGATCGAATATCACAATAAGGGGATCGAATTTCACAATAGAGGGATCGAATATAACAATAACCAGATCGAAAATCACAACTAGGCGATCGGCGATCGGGGAGACCAGCGATCGGCCAAAGTGATCGACCAAGGTGATCGACGAAGGTGATCAGCGATCGGCCAATGTGATCGACGATCGATCGAGTGATCGACGATTGGGATGATCAGCGATCGGCCAAGGTGATCGACCAAGGTGATCGACGATCTGGATGATCAGCGATCGGTCAAGTGATCGACGATTGGGAAGATCAGCGAGCGGCCAAGGTGATCGACGAGCGATCAGGGTGTGGACCACATATGCTAAAGGACGATCAACGAAAGGTAGAAGACACATGGCGGCATATCCTGGCATACAGACAGGCATACTCGCAGTTTTTAGATTTTGGTTGGTGGACATTAAACAGAATTCTTTTTACTTCTAAGTACACGTGTCAACTTCTCTTCCGGGCTGGAATATTGGCCTCCCGACGTCAAGAAAGTTTCGTATACTTTAATTAAGTGATATCCCCGGATAATTGGCTGGGGATCAAGAACTCTCAAAACAATTCCAACTGCGATCGGACGCAGCAAGAACGTAAAGGACAAGGCGCAAGATCGCGAGACGGCTCAAGTGGTCAGAAGGCTCGCATCAAGCAACAACACATTGGACAAGGCGATCTATTAGAGATCTAAGTGGCTTACATCAAGTAGTCTACAAGTACTATCGTGATCGCGTGAAGATTTCCGCCCGATCACAAACCCCATTCCAAACACGGTCAAGTTTTCTATCGAAAAGAGTCCACCGAGAAGAGTGCAGCCCGCCCTACCGACGGGTACACAAGGTGAGGAAGGAAATACAAGAC